TAGACGTGTTGCTGAACAAAGAGCTTTGAACCTAAAAAGAAAATTCCAACAAAACAACAAATTCTACAAGGAGTACAAAGAGTTCATGGCGGATGTTGTTGATAAAGGTTTTGCCATAAGAATGACACCTGAACAAAAAGACAAGGCAATTCAAAGCAAAAGGAGCTGGTATATTCCACACCATGGCGTGTATCATCCAAAAAAGCGTAAATTGAGGGTGGTTTTTGATTGCGGTGCAACTTACCAGGGCACATCTCTGAATGCACGTCTTCTCCAAGGCCCAGATTTAACCAACAGTCTTATTGGTGTCCTTACAAGATTCCGGCAGAAGAACATTGCATTCATGGCAGATATTGAAGCCATGTTCCATCAGGTCAAGGTGCCAGAGGAAGACTCGGATCTTCTCACATTCTTGTGGTGGCCCGATGGAGATCTCAGTAGTGAGCTAGAAGAGTACCAAATGGTTGTACACATCTTTGGAGCAACCTCCTCGCCTAGTTGCGCCAACTTTGCCCTACAACAGTGTGCAAGAGACAATGTGGATGACTTTAGCCCAGAGGCAGTCTCTTCGATGCTAAGAAATTTTTATGTGGACGATTGCCTAAAATCAATGGAAGACGAGAGGAAGGCAGTGATAATCGCTCACGAACTTAAAACCCTGTGCAGTAAGGGTGGTTTTAAGTTAAACAAATGGGTAAGCAACAGCAGAGCTCTACTACAAACAATACCTGACGAAAGTAGATCAAAGGAAATCAAGGATCTGGATCTGGATAAAAGTACCCTGCCTGTTGAAAGAGCTCTCGGAGTTCAGTGGTGCACTGAAACGGACTCATTCCATTTCAAATTCAATCCTCAGGATAAACCACTTACCAGGAGAGGTATTCTGTCAGTCGTGAGCTCTATATTTGATCCGCTGGGTATGTTGTCCCCTGTGATCCTCCCTGCAAAGCAAATCTTGCAAAAATTAACAGGAATAAGGCTAGGATGGGATGAAAATATTCCTGAAGAATGTAAGGAACAGTGGTTGAGCTGGCTACACCACTTGCAATTACTGAGAGACTTCAAAGTCAAAAGATGCATCACACCACTCAACTTTGGAGATCCAGTCTCAGCTCAGCTTCACCACTTTGGAGATGCTAGTGAAAGTGGTTACGGAACGGTGTCTTACCTTCGCCTAATGAACAAAGCAAACGCAGTTCATTGTTCCTTTATCATGGGTAAGGCCAGAGTAGTTCCACTCAAACCTGTGACCATCCCAAGGTTGGAGCTTACCGCTGCCACTGTAGCCGTCCGGATGGACCGAATGTTGCAGGAAGAGTTAGAGCTTAAACTCCAGCCATCCGTGTTTTGGACTGACAGCACGTCTGTGCTGAAGTACATACAAAATGAAACAACAAGATTCCACACCTTCGTTGCCAACAGAGTCACAGTCATTCGATCTGCTTCAGAGACTTCCCAATGGAGGTATGTTAATGGTTGCCTGAATCCAGCTGACTGTGTTTCAAGGGGAATCTCTGTAAGTCGCTTTCTGAGAGATGAAACCTGGTTAAGGGGACCAGAGTTCCTCAGTCTCCCTGAGCATCAATGGCCTAAATCTCCAGATTTGACTCTAACAGCCAGCGATCCTGAAGTGAAAGTTTTTGCAGTAAGTGTCACCCCCATGGAAGAAAGCTCTGTTACAGTGAACAAGTTGCTCACTTACTATTCCCACTGGCATCGCCTGAAAAAAGCTGTGGCCTGGATGCTACGCATAAAATCCGCTCTGATGGCGAGGCCAAAAATGGATTTGAAGGAAAAGAGAGCAAAACATGAAAAAGGACCTCTCACTGTTGAAAACTTGGAGGAAGCGGAAGCTGCCATAATTCAGTTTTGTCAGTCCGCTTCATTTAAGGATGAGATAACTGCGCTAAAGAAAGGACTTGCAGTAAAAAGGAGCAGTCATCTTCACAAACTAGCACCCTTTCTTCAGAACAACTTGGTAAAAGTTGGCGGAAGGTTAGCGAAATCCGCAATGCCAGCCGAAGCCAAAAGCCCAATTATCTTACCTGCAAACAATCATGTGACTCAACTCCTCATCAGACATGTCCATGAGAACATAGGGCACAGTGGAAGGACTCATACTCTGTCACGTTTAAGGCAGAAATATTGGATTCCTGGAGGAAATTCTGCCATCCGAAAAATCCTCTCTAAATGTGTAACCTGCAGGAAACTCAGTGGTGTAAAAAGTCAGCAATTCATGGCAGACTTGCCGGAAGAAAGAGTTACCCCTGATGATCCGCCCTTCACAAATGTGGGTGTGGATTTCTTTGGCCCATTTGAGTTGAAACAGAGAAGAGCCACAGTTAAAAGATACGGTGTAATTTTTACCTGTCTAAACATCAGAGCAGTTCACCTCGAACTTGCGCACAGTCTCAACTCTGACTCTTGCATTAATGCCATCAGGAGATTCATTGCAAGAAGAGGCCCTGTCAAGGTCATGAGGTCAGACAACGGAACCAACTTGGTTAGAGCTGAACGTGAACTAAAAGAAGCAATACAAGAGTTAAACCACACACAAATTCAGAACAAGCTTCTTAAAGAGGAAATAAACTGGATATTTAACCCACCAGCAGGCTCCCACCACGGAGGAATCTGGGAAAGACAAATCAGAACCGTCAGACGCATTCTCAGTGCCCTCACGCAAGAACAAAAGCTTGACGAGGAAGGACTTGCCACACTTTTCTGCGAAGTAGAGGCGATCATAAATGATCGACCCATAACGACTGTTTCCAACGACCCTGGAGATTTAGAGCCCCTCACTCCAAATCACCTTTTGCTGCTCAAATCAAAACCATTTCTTCCGCCTGGTGTCTTCAATCCGAGCGACTGCCACGGGAAGAGAAGATGGCGCCAAATTCAGTACATGGCCAACTTATTTTGGAAGCGATGGACCAAAGAATACCTACCGGAACTCCAAATAAGGCAAAAGTGGAACAGGAAAAGGAGGAATTTTGCAACCGGGGACATTGTCCTTATCGTCGACGAAAATGCTCCAAGAAATTCCTGGCTCATGGGACGAATAACGCAAGTCTTGCCAGACTCGAGAGGTTTTGTACGACAAGTGGAAGTACAGTCAAAAACCAGCACACTCCGTCGACCCATCACGAAGCTGGTACTGCTGGTCGAGTCCCAAAACGAGCTCTAGCCCCCTTCCCCTCTTGCACCACACAAGCACATTTACACACACACGGATTCATGTGTTAATACACATTCACCCCACTAAGGGTCAGAAGCCCCGAAGATGGACACTATATTGCAGTGGACTTCATATGAATTATAGTTGTTAACAAACAAATGTTTTGTATTGGCTCTCCATTTTATGTTTATTAGTAATTGTCATGTGTGATTCCATAACAATTAGGGGCCGGAGTGTAGGAGCCAAAAACGTTGATTTATTATTTCTATTATTTAATCATTTAATGTATGTAATGGAGTATAATTGTTTGGTGTCATTTGATTGGGATCCGCAGCCACGGTGGAGCGGAGCGGCTGATTGGTGCTGCGATTGCCTCAGCTGGTTAAAAGAGTCCTGCTGATTACACTCTGGGTGCTATTTTGGTTGTGAAGCCACACGGTTTTTTGACCGCTGCATTGCACTGCAGAGAAGATATGATTTGTTTATTTAAGTGAAGAAAACTGTTTCAATATCGTCTGGTAAGATACCTTCATTTGTGTTTGAAGAAGAGAACGAACATGGAAATAAATGTACCAAAAACGAACAATATATCTCTGAGTGATGTGTGAGCGCGTCGGCCAGGCGCTAAAACCAAAGAGCAGAAAAGAGCTTAAAGGTGGAAAGATGGCTCTTATAATGTGGAGACAAAGTCAATATCCCTCCCTTTTTATTATTTTATATTACTAATATATCCACAAATATCGCTGAGTAATTATATTATTATTAAAATATACCAACACGTACATATCCATGTGATACAGATCAAATATATCTCACTGTCATACCGATATTTAAATATTTATAAAACCAATATTTCAATAACACTGTATAACCCATCATTTAAAATCGCTGGATGTCAATATCTTTGAAATACCGTAGTTTTAACTCTGATCTTTAAATATCGTGGGAAAAACTGACATTGCAATCTCTTTGATTTATTTTGCAATGTGAACAAAAACTGGATATTTACCTTAAATGTTCTAGGTTTCATTTTCTTAAGTTAAATGCATGAATAAAGGGGAAAGTTAAGGGGCTGGATGAGCCAGATAAATAGAGGAACATCTGGAAAGAAGACATCTTTAGGTGAAGAGACGTCATATATTTAGTGTGTTTTCAAGTAGAAATGTTAATACTGATGTTTAGATGCATCTTGAATCCCTCCACTGTCTTTATTGGGGATGTTTTGTGTTAATATACCTGTTGATGTTCTGTGTATTGGATCAGGGGTCGAGCTGAATATTAAATCCTGTCTCTCATGTTTTAATGTTCTGAACACAGTGAATATATGAGTGTAGATTTAAACAGAATGAACCCTGCTATGGATGGAAGAAAGACGTGAACATTTTTATAATTTTTCATAATTTAATAAGAAGATCTTATTGTTTCAGTTAATTGTCTTTACAACCACTCCCCCCCCCCCCTCACTGTTTTGTTTTCATTGTTCCTCTTTGTCCCGCCACTTGTGTTATTCTAGCTGTGCGTCCTTTGTGTGTTTTACTGATATCTGAAACATCTACAGTTTTTAAACGTTGACGTGTTTTTCTCCTCTTTCTTGTACACTTTATTTCACCATCAAATTATTTAAAAAAGATGCAGGTTTGAGGATCTTTGAAGTAGAAAGGTGTTTTTATATCTGTGATTATATAATTAAAAACACTCAGTAGAATATTTGTGTTGTTATAATTCCAGACTCGTTCTCAGGTCAGGAGCTGACTGTCTCTTTAAGGAAAGCGGACTACTTCCTCCACCTGGTTTGCTTGAGTGCTCTTATTTTGTAGGTGTTCTTATTATACATCCATGGTGTGACCCGGATGTAGCATGCTGTGAGCTAAGCAGCTAGCTGTGTCTCCTCTGTCAGCAGGTTTGTTCTCTTTCTCATGTGTTTCTGAAGAGTTTATTCCTATCTTTTTAGCTGGAATGTGTTCTTTAAATGTTTATTAAAGATACCCGCTCTTTGTGGAGTTATAACCCTGCGGAATGTAGATTTAAAACGGGGTTTAGGGTTAGCTAAAGTTAGCTCTGTTTAGGGTTAGCTAAAGTTAGCTCTGTTTAGGGTTAGCTAAAGTTAGCTCTGTTTAGGGTTAGCTAAAGTTAGCTCTGTTTAGGGTTAGCTAAAGTTAGCAGTTGATGTTTACTGTTCAGTTAGAGAAGGGAGAAGTACTCAGATCTTGTACTTGAGTAAAAGTAGAAGTACTCAGATCTTGTACTTGAGTAAAAGTAGAAGTACTCAGATCTTGTACTTGAGTAAAAGCAGAAGTACTCAGATCTGGTACTTGAGTAAAAGTAGAAGTACACAGATCTTGTACTAAGTGGACCTTTTGAGATCTAAAAAGTTTCACATATATTTATATTAGTTTCAAAAATGTTCATTATTGATTCACTCTTTAGTCAAAATGCCATTTAAGCCGATAGTAAATTAATATATGAAATAATCCTGAAATAGTTAAACACACTAAATTAACTTGTTTCTTGTCATAGTTATTTATTAATGGCTTTAATTAAACTTCCAAACTTTTTACACAATTTCCATGTCCCTAAAAAATGATTGTATTTGTGTTTCTCCTTGTGTATTTCAAATACAAATATTTGTCAGTGAAATGAGTGAATCTGAAACGCCATGAAATGTAATATGAATGCAGGTCTCAGCTGGTGCAGCATGGAGCGAGTGAGGAGGGTCCTGGTTCACTTCTGTAAGGACGGAGCGGCTCAACCAGCCCACTTTGTGCAGGTCAGCAACGCTCACAGAATACAGCTTGACCGTCATCACTGCAGTAATAAACATAGTCACACACATAAAAGCAGAGGTAGCAGCAAAGACAATGCAATGTGGCAATGCAATACAGTTACATGTCAATGTACATTGTGCAAAACGACAAAGATGTAGTGTGTGTGTGTTCATCAGTGGCGCACCGTGGGGCTTTAGACAGGGCCGCCAGTAAACAATTGAGAAGCACACACACATTTAACACGTCTCTGTTCCAGCCAACGCAGCCATGATCTAATGATGCGCACATTATGCCAAACAGTCTCCCAACAATATGACAGCTGATCAACAATCACTACAGCTGGTCAACAATCACAACAGCTGATCAACAATCACAACAGCTGATCAACAATCACAACAGCTGGTCAACAATCACAACAGCTGATCAACAATCACAACAGCTGATCAACAATCACAACAGCTGATCAACAATCACAACAGCTGGTCAACAATCACAACAGCTGGTCAACAATCACAACAGCTGGTCAACAATCTCAACAGCTGATCAACAATCACAACAGCTGATCAACAATCACAACAGCTGGTCAACAATCACAACAGCTGGTCAACAATCTCAACAGCTGATCAACAATCACAACACCTGGTCAACAATCACAACAGCTGGTCAACAATCACAACAGCTGGTCAACAATCTCAACAGCTGATCAACAATCACAACAGCTGGTCAACAATCACAACAGCTGGTCAACAATCACAACAGCTGATCAACAATCACAACAGCTGGTCAACAATCACAACAGCTGGTCAACAATCACAACAGCTGATCAACAATCACAACAGCTGATCAACAATCACAACAGCTGGTCAACAATCACAACAGCTGATCAACAATCACAACAGCTGATCAACAATCACAACAGCTGGTCAACAATCACAACAGCTGGTCAACAATCACAACAGCTGATCAACAATCACAACAGCTGGTCAACAATCACAACAGCTGGTCAACAATCACAACAGTCTCTCAACAATACGACAGTAAGCTAGATAATGGTTAAATGCAGACGACATGTCCCAACATTGATCAATTAAGTAATCTATTATTAAACTTGTGTCATCGTGCACTCTCACTTCGCTCTAAAATGACGTGAATAGTAACGTGCTCACCCGTCACTTGTAAATAAGTCGATGCTACGAAGGTTTAGCTCAGGACACTGTCATTGAACATCAGCATCTGATTGGCTGATGAATCTGTCACTAATGCTTATTACCAATCAGATGTGTTGTCTTTGAACAAAAGGCTAGCAGTATCTGTTGTGCCCCCGCCAACTAAAATAACTGTGAGGCGTTCAAGTGACTTTTTGATGTAGGAAATCCCAGTTCAGCCTCAACAAAACCTTACTTAATTTAGTAATTCTGAGGATATTATACTATTAAAACTTATAACTAAATACTAATTGTTTGATTATTGTGTAATAGTTTAGATTCATAAATCAGACTGCAACTGTTCTGGGATGTTGTAAACTGAGACTTTAACAGAACTGATTTGTTTTTGAAGACGTTTTTAGTCTCTTATCGGATATATCTTATTTCATTTGTATTTATGTATTTGATATTCTCTGATCTATATGTTTCAAATATCAATAAAATCAGGGTTTTTGTAGAAAGATATAGTATGAGGGTGCTGACGTCACTTCTGGCCAAAGTTACAGCCCCGCCCACTTTCCTGTGAAAATACTGCATCAGAGCGAAGCTGGAAATAATGTGTCTTCATGTCTTAAAGCTGCTGAGTCATATATTGCATCTCAAACAACAAACAAATCCAGAGGTTTCTTTACTTCCTCTACGGAAAAAGAAGTCTCAGTTTCAGTGTCAGAGACCCACCGGACATCCATCCCATAATTATTCTCTGTAAAAACAAAGCTGTCTCTGCCGCCTGACGCTCTGTGTGATACTCATATCTCTGGAGAACAGAAATATAGTTTTCTGGCATCACTTTTATATTCTACGGGAAACCTGCATTCTGGTTTGAGGCTCCTGTTACCCGGTTTAAACAAAACCCTGACAACTATTCCATATTTGTTCTAACTCGTTGTCCTGTGTCGTATTGTGCTGGCTGGAGGTCTGAACTCTGCTTAGAGACTTTGCTCAAACCAATACCTTTTATTGTGCATTATGGGTTTAGGGATACCTGTTTTAGAAATGTAGATATAGACACCGTAGATGCTAAACCCAGCGTGTGCATTATAGACCGCCCACCACCAGGTAAGGCTACACGAAGGGTTACACTTTAGATTTCTTCTTCATGTGTTTGCAGAGTATAACGGGTCACTTCAGTGAGGGCGGAGAGGACGAGGTGGAGGTCGGCTGCTCTCTGGAGAGAAACCGGCTCATTCTTCACCGAGCAGACGCAGGGCGGGGGGTCACTCTGAAGGTCAGACACGCCACATGTTAAATACAAATCATGACAATTCATTTGACCTTTATCTTTAATATGACCTAATATTGTCCTTTTCCCCCTCCATCTCTAACCACCCTGTTGTCCTTTCCCTCCCAGAGGCACGCCTTCTGCCCCATCAAGCACCTGTCCGTCACGGAGAATGCTGCGCTCCCATTGGACGTTCAGCAGCGAGGAGTGGACGTGGGCGTGGCCATCATCCTGCAGACAGCCAATCAGAAGGTGTTGTTGACACGGCGTGCGAAGGAGCTCCGGATATTTCCCAACATCTGGGTTCCTCCAGGTCTCACACTCATCTGTTACAGGGCCAGGTGCATCATGGGAAATGTAGTGAAGCAGGGTTTTTGGATTAAAATCTCAACATTTAAATTCTGCTTTTAATTTCTCTTCAGCTCTATAGTGCAGTACTTCAAAGTTAGCACTTTCTCACACACATTTATATTTATGTGTTTTTTTGTTTATTTTAACGTGTGTTTTATTTTTATAGGAGGCCATCTCGAGCTGGATGAGACGGTGAGTCATCTCTTTATGAACATGATTTGATATGACTTCTTCTTCTTCTTCTTCTTCTTCTTCTTCTTCTTCTTCTTCTTCTTCTTCTTCTTCTTCTTCTTCTTCTTCTTCTTCTTCTTCTTCTTCTTCTTCTTCTTCTTCTTCTTCTTCTTCTTCTTCTTCTTCTTCTTCTTCTTCTTCTTCTTCTTCTTCTTCTTCTTCTTCTTCTTCTTCTTCTTCTTCTTCTTCTTCTTCTTCATCTTCTTCTTCTTCTTCTTTCTTCTCTCCTTCTTCTTC